CATGGGGAAAAGAATAAACTGAGGGATAAGGAGATGTAGAGATTTTTGGTGGGGAGCTCTCTGGGGAACTAGGCCTTCAGCATCCTGTGTTTCCACCCCACTTTAACCACAGTTGCATACAAACATGGCTTTCTCAGGGGCAAGCCTCACTTCTGGAAATGTCCCAAAACACTCAGCCACCTAGCACCAACATTTGAAGGGAATCCAAAATGGCCCACAAGCAATTGCAGAGATTTGAAATGCCTTAGGCTCCCATATGCTCACTGGGCACATTGGGCCTCCGGACCTCTGTGCGCGCTCACAGGGACACTGGCTCTGGAGGGACAGTTGAGGGACAGTTGAGGGTCAGTGCTGTTGCTAGGCTACGAGTGTTCCGGACCAAACATTCCGAGCCGTTGAGCTTTGCAGCCAAGGTGTGGCAGTGAGACCTCTGTGGCTCTTCTGCAGCGCCAGCGCTGAGATCGGGAGGCGGCAAGAGGCCAGGAGGGAAGTGAGCGGTGTCGGAAGGCGATAAGCCAAATGAAGAAGAGACTCGCTAAGTTCGCGAGCTGGGTGGGCTTCAGCATCCATCAGAGAGAGCGCAGGAATGGTGAGAACCCGGTTCCTGGGTATCCCGTCCATAAGCGCGATCTCAAGAAGTTCCACAAAGCCGCGTATTTTGGCGATCTGGACACGTTGGAAGTGTTGCTGATACGTAAGAAGAATGTCGTAGACAGCAGAGACAGGAAGAACAGGTAACAGCGGCGGGATGGGGCGGGGCAGGCCTGGGAGGAGCTGCCAACTATGGTTTTAAGACATGAAATTTAAATTGCCTTCCCATGTCAGAGATGTTGAAGAGAGAGGAAATGAACATGTTAGAATCATTGAAGTACAGTGTTCTCTCTCATTCTTGCAGCAGCAAAGTAGATACACTATTTTACTTAATTGAAATGTTGTTTTTGTAAAATAGTAATGGTAACAATTATAACATTATCTAACAATTATTGGGCTGTTATTTTGTGCAAGGAACTGCCAGACGTTTTTATAGCTTTTCATTTAAGCATCACAGCGGCATCCTGTAAGATAACTACTACTTCATGCCCATTTTGTTGATGAGGAAATTGAGGCACAGACAGGCTAAGTGAGAGCTAATACATGACAGTGTTAAAGTAGAAGTCAGACTCAAGGTGAGCTGAATCTCAATGGCATGCCCTTTCTATTCAAACAGGTAGTTC